CAACTAATCAATGCATAACTTTGTTTTGTGTGTGTTTCTGTTCAAAGACATTTCTTTTTTTTGAGGCAGAGCCTCCCTCTGTCACCTAGGCTGGAGTGCAGTGGCATGATCTTGACTCACTTCAAGCTCTGCCTCCAGGGTTCAAGTCATTCTGCCTCAGCCTCCCTCGTAGCTGGTATTACATGTGCTGGCCACCACCCCCAGCTAATTTTTGTATTTTTAGTAGAGACGGGGTTTCATCATGTTGGCCAGGCTGACCTCAAACCCCTGACCTCAGGTAATCCACCCACCTCAGCCTCCCAAAGTGCTGGGACTACAGGCATGAGCCACTGCACCCGGCCCAAAGATATCTTAATATATATTGCTCACTTATTAACATACTAATGCCCAGCCCTATAAGGGTGTTTACAGTAGGAGAGCTAAAACAAGAAGACAGTAGACGACTCAGATTTTTTCAATGCTCTGAGAATGCACCTGTCTGCAAATATGCCTTGAGCATTGATTTTGGGGTTACAAATAAGTTTTAGCAGTGATATAGTTTGTATCCATGTCCTGGCCCAAAATCACATGTCAAATTATAATCCCTGGCTGAGTGTGGTGGCTCATGCCTGTAATTCCAGCACTTTGGGAAGCCAAGACTGGCAGATTATTTGAGCTCAGGAGTTCAAGACCAGCCTGGGCAACATGGCAAAACCCTGTCTCTACAAAAAATACAAAACATTAGCTGGGTGTGATGGCACATGCCTCTAGTCCCAGTTACTTGGGGAGGCTAAAGTGGGAGAATTGCTTGAACCCATAAGGCAGAGGTTGCAGTGAGCCATGATTATGCCACTGTACTCCAGTTTGGGCAACAGAGTGAGACTCCGTCTCAAAAAAAAAAGAAAATTGTAATCCCCAATGTTTGAGGAGAGGCCTGGTGGGAGGGTGATTGGATCATGGGGATGAAGTTCTCATGAATGATTTAGCACCATCCCTCCCTGGGTACTGTACAGTAACTGAGCGCTCATGAGATCTAAAAGTATGTAGCATCTCCCCGCCCCTCTCTTTCTCCTGCTCTCGCCATGTAAGTACTGGCTCCTTCTTCACCTTCCGCCATTATTGGAAGCTTCTTGAGGCCTCCCCAGAAGCAGATAAGGCGATGCTTCCTGTACAGCCTGCAGAACCATGAGCTAATTAAACTCCTTTTTTTATAAATTACCCAGTCTCCAGTATTTCTTTATGGCAATGTAAGAATGGACTAATATAAGCAGGTAGGTGAATTCACAAACATGGAATTTGTAAATAATGAGCATGGACTGTATATAGAATAAACTTAACAAGAAATATGCAAAACCAGTATATGAAAAACTTGGAAAAACTCCTAAAAGACACAAAAGTAGACTGGAACATCCCTTGTTTTAGATAGGATGACTGAACATGATGAAGATGATAGTTCTCCCTGAGTTCATGTATTACTATAACACAATTCAAGTAAAAACAACAGCAAATATTTTATGAGGCTTGAAAAGTTTGTATTAAAGTGGTAAACCAAAAATAAAATTCTAAGTCCCCCAACCATCTGAATGGCTTTCCCCCTAGGCCAGGGCACTCTAAACTTTAACCTAAAAGACGGGTTCAGGCCCTGAGGGGAAGTAGGGATGGACATGCCCCATTATACCCTCCAGCATTCAAATCAACACAGGCCTTAAGCCTGATAAGAAATATTTACAGTCTATTCTCTCTAAAGCCTGCTACCTGGAGGCTTCATCAGCATGATTAAACTTTGGTCTCAACAACCTCTTATTGTAACTCAGGCATTCTTTTCCCTTGATAATAACTTAACCAGTTGCCAATCAGAAAATTTTAAAATCTACGTATAACCTGGAAGCCCCCTCTTTGAATGGTCTCCTGCCTTTCTGGACCAAACCATTGTATATCTTAAAGGCATTTAACTGATGTCCCATGTCTCCCTAAAATGTCTAAAACCAAGTTGAACCCTGACCATCTTGGACACACGTTCTCAGAATCTTCTGAGGGCTCTGTCACAGGCCGTGGTCACTCATATTTGGCTCAGAATAAATCTCTACAAGTATTTTACAGAGTTTAACTCTTTTGTCAACAAAGTTCTTATGGAAAAAGAAACATGTGAATCTCTAAGAAAATACTAAAAAATAAAGCTATGAAGAGGAACTTATGTTAGCATATTAAACACTATGATATCTCTATGCTAAAAATAGTGTGGCACCAATGAGATATCATCTCACACCAGTGAGAATGGCTATTATTAAAAGTAAAGAAAAAAACTAACATATGTTGAAGAGGTTGTGGAGAAAAAGGAATGCTTTTACACTGTTGGTGGGAGTGTAACTTAATTCAACTGTTGTGGAAGACAGTGTGGCAATTCCTCAAAGACCTAAAGACAGAAATACCATTCAACCCAGCAATCCCATTGCTGGCTTTATACCCAAAGAAATATAAATTTTTCTATTATAAAGACACATGTATGTGTATGTTTATTTCAGTGCTATTCACAATAGCAAAGACATGGAATTAACCAAAACGCCTATCAATGATAGACTGGATAAAGAAAATGTGGTACCTATACACCATGGAATACTATGCAGTCATAAAAAGGAATGAGATCATGTTCTTTGCAGTGACATAGATGGAGCTGGAGGCCATTGTCCTTAGCAAACTAAGACAGGAACAGAAAACCATATACTGCATATGTTCTCACTTATAAGTGGGAGCTAAACGATGAGAACGCATGGACACATGGCTAGGGAAACAACACACATTGGAGCCTATCCGAGGTTTGGAGGGTGAGACGAGGGAGAGACGCAGAAAAAAATAACTAATGGATACTAAGCTTAATATCTAGGTAATGAGATAATCTGTAAAACCAACCCCCATGACACACACTTACTTACGTAACAAATCTGCACATGTACCCTGAACTTAAAAGTTAAAAATATAGTAGTGTGGTGCTATCACAAGGAAAGGAAAATGGATTGATGGAATAAAATATTGTCCAAAAAAGACATATATTAATCTATCTATCATCTATCTGTCTGTCTGTCTATATGTCTATCTGCAATTGTCCTTCAATATTCAGGGGATTGGTTCCAGGAGCCCCTTGGACACCAAAATCTGAGGATCCTCAAGCCCTGCAGTTGGTCCTGTGGAACCCATAAAAACAAAAGGTCAGCCCTCCATATTTATGGGTTTCGCATGCCATGAATACTGTAATTTTCAATCCACAGTTGGTTGAATCCACAGATGCAGAACCTGAGTATACAGAGGGCTGATCATATTTGGAAATGTTGTATATTATAAAGGTGGCATCTCAAATCACTGAAACTTTAATAACAAGTGCTAGGACAATGGATACGCATTGGAAAAACAATAAGGATCTATGCCTCACATCATGAGACATCAATCACCACGTGCGGAGCTCTGTCCTGCAGCCGCTGACTCAATGACAGATGAATGAATATACTCTCACATCTAGTACAGTGATTTGAGTGGACTAGGGATGGTCATCAATGCTTTCAGAGGGTGAATGCAGTTAACTGACCATAACTCCCTGTACCTCCTCACATTTATTCGGTATAGGTTCAATAACACAGGTTCCAAGTCAACATGCTTGTGGATAATTAACATGGTTAAGAGTGATTTTATGAATGCTAAAAGCTTTAGGTTCTGGGGCTCAGAGTAAACACCATTAATGGGTAATTCCCCTTTGAGCTCCCCCAGAGAGGGCTATCCAGCACAAAGTTTACATGAGCAAACAGAGTAGAGACAAAGGGATGTGGGGTAAACAGAACTGACTGGGGAAGCTTTATTGTCCCTATCTTTTACCTTATGACTTAAAATTCTAATGTAATGAACTGGCTACCTTCAGCCTGTTCCATTAAAACCTTTCAGCCTTTCAAAAGGTTTGAGACTGTAATCTTCTAACTTCCCCTAATATTTGCTTAATATTTTGCCAGCCACCCCAAGTGAATCCCAACAATACCACATAGAAGAATAAATTCCAAATGGATAAAAGTCCTAAATGTAAAAAAAATTGAAAGCAGACAGGTACTAGAAGAAAACCTGAGTGAATTCCTCTATAACTTGATGTAGAGAAAGGTTTTCCAACTATAATTCAAAATCCAGGTGCAATAAAATGTTGCTAACCTTGACTAGATAAAAATTTATTTTTTAAAAATGTATTTCCAAAGACATCATAAACAAAGTCAAAAGACAAATGACAAATGGAGAGAAAGTATTTGCACTAAATAGCACACAAAGGGCTGGTGTCTGTAAAATACAAAGAATTCTTTAAAATTCAAGTGAAAAAGTTGACCAAAGACCTGGTAAAAAAAAAAATAGGTAAAAGACAATGAATTATTTATATAGATGTAAGAATAGACCTAAAAATATGAAAAGATGTTTAACTTCACTCGTGATAAAAGAAATACAAATTAAAACTAGACTTAGGCCAGATGCAGTGGCTCACACTTATAATCCCAGCACTTTGGGAGTCTGAGGTGGGTGGATAAAATGAAGCTAGGAGTTTAAGACCAGTCTGGACAACATGGCAAAACCCCATCTCTACTAAAAATACAAAAACTAGCCAGGCATGGTGGTGCACGCCTGTAATCCCAGCTACTCAGGAGGCTGAGGCATGCAAATGGCTTGAACCCAGGAGGCAGAGGTTGCAGTGAGCCTAGATCCAGGCCACTGCATGCCAGCCTGGGTGACAGAATGAGACTCTGTCTCAAACATATATACACACACACACGTGCACACACACACACACACACACACACACAGAGTACACTACACTTAGAGAACTGCCAATAATGTGCCAGTATGAAATAGTCATGCAAATCCTTTTACAGGTAACAATTTTAAGACCGTGATATGGTTTGGCTGTGTCCCCACCCACATCTCATCTTGAATTGTAGCTCCCATAATTTCCACATGTTGTGGGAGGGTCCCAGTGGGAGGTATTCAAATTATGGGGGCAGGTGTTTCCCATGCTATTCTTGTGATATTAAATAAGTCTCATGAGATCTGATGGTTTCATAAAGGAGAGTTCTCCTGCACACAATCTCTCGCCTGCCACCAAGTAAGTCATGGCTTTGCTCCTCCCTTCCCTTCCACCATGACTGTGAGGCCTCCCTAATACAATGGAACTGTAAGTCCATTAAACCTCTTTTCTTTCTACATTACTTAGTCTCAGGTATGTCTTTATTAGCATCTGTCTTTATGAAAACAGACTAATACATTAAATTGGCACAAGGAGTGGGGTGCTGCTGTAAAGATACCTGAAAATGTGGAAGTGACTTTGGAACTGGATAACAGGCAGAAATTGGAACAGTTTGGAGGACTCAGAAGAAGACAGGAGAATGTGAGAAAGTTTGGAACTTCCTAGAGACTTGTTGAATGGCTTTGACCAAAATGCTGATAGTGATATGGACAATAAAGTCCAGGCTATGATGGTCTCAGATGGAGAAGAGAAACTTGTTAGGAACTGGAATAAAGGTTGCCTTTGCTATGCAAAGAGACTGGCAGCATTTTGTCCTGCCCTAGAGATCTGCGAAACTTTGAAATTGGGATTTATGGTGTGTGGCAGAAGAAATTTCTAAGCAGCAAGGCATTCAAGATGTAACAGAGCATAGAAATTTGGAAAATTTGCAGCCTGACAATGCAGTAGAAAAAAAAACCCCATTTTGGGGGGAGAAATTCCAGTCAGCTGCAGAAATATGCATAAATAATGAGGAACCAAATGCTAATCACCAAGACAATGGGGAAAATGTCTCCAGGGCATGTCAGAGACCCTCATGGCAGCCCCTCCCATCACAAACCTAGAAGCCTGGGAGGAAAAAATGGTTTTGTGGGCTGGGCCCAGGACCCCCATACTCTATGCAGCCTTCAAATATGGTACTCTGCATCCCAGCTGTTTCAGCTCCAGCCATGAGGCCAATGTACAGCTCTGGCTGTTCCTTCAGAGGATGCAAGCACCAATTCTTTACAGCTTACACGTGGTGTTGGGCCTGTGGGTACATGGAAGTCAAGAATTGAGGTTTGGGAACCTCTGCCTAGATTTCAGAGGACGTTTGGAAATACCTGGATGTCCAGGCAAAAGTTTGCTTCAGGGGTGGGGCCCTTAGGAGAACCTCAGCTAGGGCAGTGCAGAAGGAAAATGTGGGATCAAATCCCCCACACAGAGTCCCTACAGGGGCATTGCCTAGTGGAGCTGTGAGAAGACGGCCACAGTCCTCCAGATCCCAGAATGGTAGGTCCACTGACAGCTTGTGCCATGTGCCTGGAAAAGCCACTGACAATACCAGCCATGAAAGGAACCAGAAGGGGGCTGTACTCTGAAAACCCCCCTTGGGGCAGAGCTTCTCAAGGTCAAGGAAGCTCACCTCTTGCATCAGCATGACCTTGATGTGAGACATGGAGTCAAAAGACATCATTTCAGAGCTTTAAGATTTCACTGCCGGTCCTGGCACCGTGCGTGGCCGTTGCAGTGGTGCAGGGGGTGGGCCCATGGCGCAGCACAGGAGGAGGAAGTGGTGAGGTTGTTGCTCCCTCTGTGCCCACCACTGGCTCTTGGGGCACAGAGAGGGGCCATGGTGTCCGTGGCTGCTCGTGCTCCCTGGCGGTCCCCTCCATGTTCTGCGGCACCACTGCTTGCTTCCCTTCCTAAGGCCACCACTTGCCCCGGGGTCTATGGAAGTAATGGAAGGACCTCTCAACCTGGCTCATCAACAGAGCAGATGAGCAGACCGTTTTTTAGCTGCAGGCAAATACGAAGAGGCTATTTCTTGTCACAAAAAGGCTGCCGCGTATCTTTCTGAAGCCATGAAGCTGACACAATCTGAGCAGGCACATCTTTCACTGGAATTGCAAAGGGATAGCCACATGAAACAGCTCCTCCTCATCCAAGAGAGATGGAAAAGTGCCCAGTGTGAAGAAAGATTGAAAGCCCAGCAGAACACCGACAAGGATGTAGCTGCCCATCTTCAGGCATCTCACAAACCCTCTGCAGAGGATGCAGAGGGCCAGAGCCCCCTTTCTCAGAAGTACAACCCTTCCACAGAGAAACGCCTGCCTGAGATTCAGGGGATCCGTGACAGGGATCCAGACACACTGCTGTACTTACTTCAGCAAAAGAGTGAGCCAGTGGAGCCATGTATTGGAAGCAAAGCCCCAAAAGATGATAAAACAATTATAGAGGATCAGACAACCAAAACTGCAGATTTGAAGAGGCATGTGGAATTCCTTGTGGCCGAGAATGAAAGATTAAGGAAAGAAAATAAACAACTAAAGGCTGAAATGGCCAGACTTCTAAAAGGTCTAATAGAAAAGGAACTGGATGTAGATGCTGGTTTTGTAGAAACGTCAGAGATACGGAGCTTGCCACCACATTCAGAAACTGCTACAGCCTCCTCAACCTGGCAGACGTTTGCAGCAAATGCCGGGAAAGCCAAGGACATTCCAATCCCCAGACTTCCTCCCTTGGATTTTTCTTCTCCAGAACTTCCCCTTATGGAGCTCTCTGAGGATATTCTGAAAGGATTTATGAATAATTGAAATGGAAGGCCACAGAAGAGGAGGGGAGAAGAGGAAATAATACAGTAATAGTTAATCCAGCAAAAAAAATGAAAAGGGAAAAACCACATAGAAGGGTCATCCCGGAAATGCTTCATCATCTGGCAGAATGTGAGAGAAGAGGCATTGCCAGGACTTGGGAAACAGTCACTGTGAAATGTGTCTTGTATCTGATTCACTGACTCGTGCTAATGATTCCGACTTGGCAGACACTAAACTCATGGAGGGTTCACTTTCTCCTGATACAAACCAAATGGCTACCTGGAATAATTTTTTTCAAGCAACAATTATTTTTCTTATCTTCAGGGTTAAAATGTTTAAAAGTATGTTATGCGTAATTAATCTCTAATGCCATAAATGATAATGCAAAACCTAAATAATATGGTGGCCTGAGGGGCTGCCTTCTATTTGAAACAAGCTTTCTATCATGCATTGACTGTGTGCGTTTTGTTAATGCACATTTTGTTTGTTTAAATAAGGTGTGTAAGATACACACCCTTCTAGAGGAAACTATATGTGCCACACTTTGCACTACTCATAATGATAATCTCAAGACTACCAGGAGAAATATTTGAATTTCCATTTTATGAAGAAAGGAAGCAAATTATTATGCTTTTTTAAACAAATTACCAGTTTACATAATTAATCAGAGTGCATTTTAAGTTCTAACTTTGTTTATTGTATAGTGCATCATTTGAAAATACCAAGGAGGAAATACCCTTTGTTTTTAATGATGCAAGAGTGGGGGTAATGCTAGTTGGCAGTATTTGATTGTAAGAAATCAATAAAGTAATTACATTTTCAAAAAAAAAACAAGATTTCATTGCCCTATCGCCTTCATTTTGGCCAATTTTTCCCATTTGGAATGGGTGTATTAACAACTTGCTTTTGATTATATAGGCTCAAAGGTGGAAAGGACTTGCTTTGTGTCAGATGAGACTTTGGACTGTGGACTTCTGAGTTTATGCTGAAATGAAGACTTTGGGGGACTGTTGGGAAAACATGATTGGTTTTGATATGTGAGGACATAAGATTTGGGAGGGGCTGGGGTGGAATGAAATAGTTTGGCTGTGTCCCCACCCAAATCTCATGTTGAATTGTAGCTCCCATAATTGCCATGTGTTGTGGGAGGGACCCCACAACATATGAGGAGGTAATTGAATCATGGGGCAGGTCTTTTCCATGCTGTTCTCTTGACAGGAAATAAGTCTTATGACATCTGATGGTTTTATAAAGGGTAGTTCCCTTGCACATGCTCTCTTGCCTGCTTCCATGTAAGTCACACCTTTGTTCCTCTCTAGGCTTCTACCATACTTGTGAGGCCTCCACAGCCATGTGGAACTGTGAGTCTATTAAACCTTTTTCCTTTCTAAATTACCCAGTCTCTGGTACATCCTTATTAGCAGCATGAGAGCAGACTAATACAGACCTGGATAAATTTTTTTAAGTTACCAACTATTTAAAATGCTCAAGACCAGAGAGAAACTACTGGAGAGTTTATTCTTTAAAACTGCAACTGGAGAAGAAAAGAATTATGAGTTTGTGACATTCTGGCCTGAAGGCACCCCCCAACTTTCAGGGTCAAGGCAACAAAAAATTTATAGTCTAACTGGCTCAAGGTGCCAGAAATAAAAGTTCATGGCTAGAAAAAAAAGTGAAAGTTTAAAGAAAAATACTCATCAGCAAGAAACTACAGTAAGAGTGAATCATAAAACCTAAGTATGAACTTTGCCCTAATTCCTAGCTAGACACTAAATTATGCATGTACAAGGGAGAACCCAGGGAACACTGTAAAAAAATTAGGCAGGGACCAGAGAGGAATCTACTGTTCAGAAACAGAGCTGCATAGAGACATAGAGAAAGTTCTATCTGTTCACTGCTTTTTAACTGAAATACATTTCCAGGCCATGTGTAGCTTGGGCAGCAGTAATCTAATGCCTTATGGGCTTACACTATCAGGAGACAGAACTCAAGGCTGGAAGAATGTTTGGAAATTTAAGCAAGGGAACCACTGAAAGAGTGAGCCCTCAAAGCTGAAGTTAACTACTTCCTATTACAAGAGAAAAAAGTTTTCAGTTTGAGTCCAGGCAAGTTGACTGCCTATTAGAATGGAAAATAAAAAATTAAGTGTACAAAAAAGAAACCACACACACACGTGCACGCACACACACACACACACACACACACACAAGAAAAAAACCATGAGAACACAACAGAATCCAGAATCACTATATTTCCTGCAGTCCAGTTTTGAACCAAAATTTAGTAGACATGCAAAGAAACAGGAAAATGTATTCTATTATTATGATAAAAGACAAACATTCAATAAAAAATCTGATTTATTACAGATGTTGTATAGCAGACATCAAAGCTACTATAAATATATACAAATGGCCGGGCGCGGTGGCTCAAGCCTGTAATCCCAGCACTTTGGGAGGCCGAGGTGGGTGGATCACGAGGTCAAGAGATCGAGACCATCCTGGTCAACATGGTGAAACCCTGTCTCTACCAAAAATACAAAAAACATTAGCTGGGCATGGTGGCGCGTGCCTGTAATCCCAGCTACTCAGGAGGTTGAGGCAGGAGAATTGCCTGAACCCAGGAGGCGGAGGTTGCGGTGAGCTGAGATCGCGCCATTGCACTCCAGCCTGGGTAACAAGAGTGAAACTCCGTCTCAAAAAAAAAAAAAAAAAAAAGAATAAAATAGAGTATCAATGAAGAAATGAATCATCTCAATACAGAAATGAAGGTATTAAAATGCAAGAGAAAAATTCTAGAGCTGAAAGGTACAACATAAAGTACACTAAATAGACTGAGCAGCAAAATGGAAAGGACAGAATAATTATTGAATTTGAATAAGATTGATAAAATTTACTCAATCCAAAAAACCAAAAAAAAAAAAAAAAGGAAAGAATATTGAAGAAAAGTTAACAAAACCTCAGAGACCCATGGAATAATTTCAAGATTTCAAAATATGTGCAATTGGAGTCCTAGAAAAGGAGGAGATAGAAAAAGAGAAAAAAAAATCACTGGAGAAAAAATAACTGAAAACTTCCAAAATGTGGTAGAAAATGTTAATAGATTCAAGAAGCCTAAGGAACCTGAAAACTTGATAAACACAAAAGAAACTACCCCCACACACTTCATAGTTAAACTGCCAACAAGGAAATATTGAAACCAGAAAAAACACACACACACAATATATTACATTCAGAGGAAGACCAACATGATTACAGATGGCTTTTCAACAAAAACTATAGATATTGGAAGATATTGGAATGGCATAGTGCAAAAAGAAACGAATTTAAGAACCTGTCAGCAAAGAATTGTATATGCAGTAAAACTAGCCTTCGAAATGAAGGTGAGAGGAGTTCCACTTCCAGTATGTTCAAGTAAACTCTTAACACAGACCCTCTAACAGATAGTTACAACTACCTAGAGACTCAAGGGAGGCACAAAAGCAGGCAGATTCTGATATGGTGAGTGCCCTGTTATCACACATTTTAGCTTAAGGGTGGGCTAAGGCAAGACATGGTAAGTACCACACGTGAAGGCTTAAACTCTGAGATATACAGTCTTTCTGGCTTGAAAAATGAGAAAACAGAGTTTGGGAAAACCACAGCTCTTAGAGTATACAGAGAGAATACTATCAAGGAAAGATCTAAGTCTTGCTTTGTCACTCAGGTTGGAGTACAATGGTTCAATCTCAGCTCACTGCAATCTCCACCTCCTAAGTTCAAGCCATTCTCCTGTCTCAGCTTCCCAAGTAACTGGGATTACAGGCATGTACCACCACAGTCAGCTAATTTTTGTTTCTTTAGTAGAGATGGGGTTTTGCCCTGTCAGCCAGGCTAATCTCAAACTCCTGACCTCAAGTGATCCACCCACCTCGGTCTCCCAGAGTGCTGGGATTAGACATGTGAGCCACCATGCCTGTTCTCTGACATCATAACCATATATGCACAGACAGATGGCAAACATATCAATTAAGGACAAAAGAGCTAAACTGAAATTTTGACTGCCACCCAAGAGGCAGCATTTTCAATATAAGTTCAACAAAGTTAATTGTCTGCTAAAACAAAAATATCAAGTCTTCTGAGGAATGTAACAGAATTCAGAGTCTCTACAACCTAACATTTATAAAGTATATAACTAAAATTCTAAGTTATTTAACATATAACCATGAAAATGTCATCTGTTTCAAGAGAAAAATTATAAGGCAATTAACCCTGAGATGATCCAGCTGTTAGATTATCAGACAAGGACTTTACAACAGCTATAATAACTATGTATATTAAAGTCAAGGAAAATATGCTTATAATAAACTATTTAAAAAAAAATGAAAATCCCAGAACTAAAAGATACAATGTCTTAATGTTAAAAGAAATCCACTGAATGATCTTAAGAACAGAATACAAATGGCAGAGGAGCCAATGACTCTGAGATTGATCAATAGAAACTGTGAAGTCTGAAAAAAGAGGTACAAGATTTAAATAAACAGGACTTCAGAAACTGTGGGGAAATACACCCTTAGTAATCCAAGTTTTAAAATGAGAAGAGAGAAATAATGGGGAAAAATAGAGAAGTAATGGCTGCAAATCTCTTAAATTTGTCTAAAGATGTAAATTTATAGCTCTAAAAGAAGACATATATGAGGTCAGCAAACATATGAAAAAATGCTCATCATCACTGGTCATTAGAGAAATGCAAATAAAACTACACTGAGATACCACCTCACGCCAGTTAGAATGTCGATCATTAAAAATTCTGGAGACAACAGATGCTGGAGAGGATATGGAGAAATAGGAACGCTTTTACACTCTTGGTGGGAGTGTAAATTAGTTTAACCATTGTCAAAGACAGTGTGGCAATTCCGCAAGGACCTAGAAATAGAAATTCCATTTGACCCAGCAATCCCATTACTGGGTATATATCCAAAGGATTATAAATCATTCTATTATAAAGACACATGCAGCCCTGTCGGCCAAGCTAATCTCAAACTCTTGACCTCAAGTGATCCACCCACCTCGGTCTCCCAGAGTGCTGGGATTATAGGTGTGAGCCACCATGCCTGTCCTCTGACATCTTAACCATGTATGCACAGACAGATGGCAACTAGATCAATTAAGGATAAAAGAGCTAAACTGAAATTTTAGCTGCCACCCAAGAGGCAGCATTTTCAATATAAGTTCAACAAAGTTAATTGTCTGCTAAAACAAAAATAGCAAGTCTTCTGAGGAATGTATTTTTTTAATTAACCATTTCTTCTTATATTAATATACCAGGACTTGAGGTAATCATATATTCAGTGACTCACACACTCCAATAATAAATACTCTTAGGTGATCTTCAGCCTGAAAAAAATCTTCACTTATTGACTACTTACAGTACAGTGATTTAGCATCTTAGCTGGTAATCAAAGATGGTTATGTATTAAATAAGAGAAGACATAGTCTCTCTTCCAGATATCACCTCTCAGAAATCTGGGCAAATATTTTAAGAACTAGAATTGCATCTCCTGGTGGCAGTCGTCACCCTGAGAGCAGGAACAAGGCAAAGAAAGTACACAGGATTTTGATTCTCCTACACAGGTGCACATAAAGCTTTAGTTTATTAATGACTACATTTTGAAGCCAGCCATTTTGTCCAATATTTAAATAACAAGCTGTTTAATATTAAAGCAGAATGTACTGCCACACTGTGACAGAAGTACAGCTTTATCCATAAACCCTTCACGCAATTATACATCAAATGCTATTTTTACTTAATCAAGGCACCCCTACTCGTTCTAAAATATGGGATGTGCTACTCCATTGTAAAAGCAAATGAGGAGACTGATTGTTTCCTATCTAGAGCTGGTTTAAATTCAAGTGAAGCCATTAATTTTCTCACCAGTCTGGACTGTTCTGACATGCCACTTCACAGTTTTGAGACTAACAAACATCCTTAGGTTTACCCCAAACCAAAAAAAGCCAGGGAGGGACAGTTCAGACAACTTTTAAGTAAAGACTAGAATGTCCCTTAAGTAAATAGGCACCAACATTAAACACCTTTACACAGGCTTAGAAAGGCAAAACATTTCTAAAGACATAAAACTGCCAAACTGTCATTTACACTCGCTAAAGTGTGTTATTTATTTTTTGTTTTGATTTTTTAAAATTCCTATCTCTCTAAGTAATCAAATACAGCAAAATTTAAAACTATTCTGCCAAACCATACCAGTTCAAAGGTCTGAAAACTTTCTTTGCTTTGGTGAATGTTTGGTTAAAATAAATCACTGTTTCACTCCATGAGAAGTTTTACATCAGAGCACTCAATTCACAGGGGAAAAAAAAAAAAGAATATTATTTTTTAAATGAAAGAGTTTAAGGAATACTGCTAAATAAAAATATTAGTCTTTACAATGGATAACATATCATCTATGAAAACAAACTGTTTAATCATATGAAATAAAGATCATATTTTTAAATCAGATCCTGGACAGTTTAAATAAGAGTTTTAATTTGTGATTTATTTCATAATCCCAAACTGGATCTTTCATTTCTTCTTCTAAGCAGACCATTATGAAATTTTTCTTAGAAGCAATTAACCCAAAACACCAAAATCAATTCCCCAGCAGTTGCTGCTAATAAACTGGAATTGTATATCCCATGTCCAAGAAAGATGTGCAAATGAAATGCTTCTTGCTTCATTCTTATTATCTGGAGCCCCTGAAGTCTAATTTTCCTTTTGGACAAGAATTCAGGAACGGTTCAATATACCTATGATGAACGTGGGACCGATCCTCGAGCATCACTGCAACAGCATCCTCATGGGTCTCAAAGTGCACATCAGCTTCTCCAGTGGCCGTCCCACTGGAGCTGTATTCCATGGTGATTCTAACAGGCTTCAGTGCAGCGAAAAAGTTTATAATGTCTTGGGCATTGGCTCGGAAAGGTCCTGTGGACAAAATGCAGACAAGGCGTAGTTCCAAAATCAGCAGCCTCTGGAAGCTTTTCTGGCACCTCCTTGGGCAATTCTATTTCTTTCTCACTTTCAAAAGCTGTCATGGGTTGAATATCCTCATTTACTTCGTGTTCTTCAAAGACCATTTCTGGCTCAGTTATATACTTAGCAGTAGGAGAAGATGCCATTTTCTTTCCCTTATGAGAACCAACATGTGTTCGAACTTCATTCCTTCTGCTTGGATATATCTTGATGTATCGATTACCAATTTCTTCCCCGTGTTTCAACAGGGCTTGGTTGGCCATTTTTGGTTCTTCAATTTGCACATAGGCTTCCCCTGTCTTTCGTCCCCCTCTGTAGTCCATCACAAAAGTAACGTCAACTGTATTCAGTCCTGCAAAGAAGTCTACAATGTCTTTCTTGTTGCAACTATAAGGAAGTCCTCTCAAACGAACCACACCATCATTTACCATAGGCGAAGATTTGACCTGCAGGCTCTTCATCAAGGCATCCACATCTTCATTGTTTATCTCAGTTCAGTGAATCCCAGAGTAAAAAAGAAGAAAAGCATTCCATCATAGTCACAATGTTGAAAAACAAACATGGAGAAAAAAATCTTGAAAGCTGCCAGAATAATAAACGACACATCACATAAAGGGGAATACAAATTAGAAACCACTGACTTCTCATCAGCACCTATAGAGGCAATAACCCTACAGTGGGACAACATCATTCAAGTGTTGAAAGAAAATAAAACCTCTCAACCCAAAATTCCACATCAAGTGAAAATATCCTCAAAAATGAAAGTAAAATGAAGACATTTGCAGATAAAAGTAAACCAGAATTCACAATCAGAAGAATTGCACTACAAGAAATGCTAAAGGAAATTCCGCAGGCTGATGGAAATTGATAGAAAACAGAAAATCAGATCTTAAGGATGGGATGAACAGTTTCTGAAATAATAATTATCCAGGTGAATATTTTAAAATATTTTTCTCTTTATTTCCTTAAAATACATAAAGATATAATACACATGGCAACTATGACACAAATAGAAACAGGTGGAGGGGTGAAGGGACATACATGGGTGCAAGGCTTTTGCAATTATATATTTTGCATTTTACAGATTTTAACTTCTTTCTCTCGACACTTCTAGAACAAGTAGACCAAAACCAAAAACCAATAAAGATTATCTCAACCATCTTGACCTGTACCCCAAATCCTAGATAATATATTTATTTTCAAGTATGCTTGTCACTTTCACCAAGACAGCCCATGTGCTTGACCATAAACCAAGTTCCAATTAATTTAAAAGAATTGCAGTCATACAAAGTATGTACTTGGCCCACAATGAAATTAAATGAAAAGCCAATAACAATAAGATATCTATGAAAATCTCAAAATATTTGGAAATGAGACATGTATTTCTAAAAATCCACGGAACAAAGAAGAACTCACAAGGTAAAATGACAGATGCAAAAATTAATTATTTGAAATAAATCAACAATATAGATAAACCTCTAATCAGCAAGAAAAAGGAGAAAACACAAATACAAAGGAGTTATCACTACTAGAATGCCTACAGACATTCAAATCATAATAAAATAATATTATAGACAAAATATTTCCTGAAAATTCAAAAATGAAGATAAAGTTAACCTTGACAAATATAACCAAAACTGACATAAAATGAAACAGAAAGTATAAATTACCTTTTATCTATTAAAGAAAGTTAATTTGTTATCAAAACCCTTTTTACAAAAGAAGCTCCAGGCCCAGATGGTTAACTGGTGAATTTTATCAAATATTTGAAGATGAAATTATAGGCTGGATATATATGGTGTCTTACACTTGTAACACCAGCGCTTTGGGAGGCTGAGGCAGAAGGACTGCTTGAACTCATGTGATCAAGACCGGCCTGGGCAACATAGCAACACCCCATCTCTACAAAAAATAAAATAATTAGCCAGGCATGGTGGCATGCACCTGTGGTCTCAGTTACTCAGGAGGCTGGGGTGGAAGAATTACTTAAACCCAGGAGGTTGAGGCTGCAGTGAGCCAAGATCATGCCACTGCACTCCAGCCTTGGCAACAGAGTGAGAACCTGTCTCAAGAAAATAAATAAATAAATAAATAAGAAATAATAATCTTACACAAACTCTTTCAGAAAATGGGGGAGGAATAGGGGTAAAGGCCAAAAGTCAAGCAATGCAGACAGCCTCTAGAAGCTAGAAAAGATAAATAGATTCTCAACCTGAAGCTTCTAGAAGAAGGCTGCCAACACCATGATTTTAGAATTCTGACCTCCAGAAATGCAAGAGAATAAATTTGTGTTGTTTCAAGTCACTTGACAAAAAAAAAGTAGGCCAGATTCACTGGCTATTGCCTGTAATCCCAGCACTTTGGGAAGCCGAGCCAGGCAGATTGCTTGAATCCAGAAGTTTGAGACCAGCCTGGGCAACATGGCAAAACTTGTCTCTACTAAAAATACAAAAATTAGCCAGGAGTGGTGGCACATGTATGTCGTCCCAGCTCCTTGGGAAGCTAAAGTGGGAGAATCACTTGATCCGGGGCGGTTGAGGCTGCAGTGAGCCAAGATCATGCCACTGCACTCTGGCCTGGGCAACAGAGCAAGACCCTGTCTCTAAAACAAACAAACAGGAGAGAGATCCAAGATGGCTGATCACTAGCAGCTCAGGATTGCAGCTCCCACTGAAAGAGCACAGAACGAGAGGACGCCACATTTTCAGATCAATTTTTGTTGCTCACGCACCAGGAGATTCCCAGCGGAGGAGGCCCACGTGTCGCCAGCATGACTCCTGAGGCCGGTGAGGCGGTTTTGCCGCTGCCTTGGTGTGGCAGTTCTTGGTGCAGAGTCAGAAAAGCACCATCAATCTTAAAGCCGCTGTTTTGGCCAGCGCAGTGGGTTGCTCAGATTCTAGCGCTGGGAATCAACAAGTTGGACGTCCATTCAGAAACCCAACTATAAAGACGGTAATTATAAAGACCACAGATGGATAAATTTATAACAAAGGGAAGAAACCAGCCTAAAAAGGCTGGGAATACCCAAACTCAGAACGCCTCTCCCTCTACAGGGGATCACAATTCCTCATCAGCAACAGAACAAGACCTGATGGAGAAAGACTGTGTTCCATTAGCAGAAGCTGGCTTTAAAAAGTGGATAAGAAACATCTGGGAATTAAAAGAACTTGTTCTAACCCAATGCAAAGAAACTAAGAACTTTGAAAAAAGGTTTGACGAAATGTTAACAATAACACACAATTTAGAGAGGAATATAAGTGAATTAATGGAGCTGAAAAATACAACACGAGAACTTCGCGAACTATGCGCAAGTTTTAACAGCCAAATTGATCAAGCAGAAGAAAAGATATCAGAGGTCGAAGACCAACTTCATGAAATAAAACAAAAAGACAAGATTGGATAAAAAAGAACGAGCAAAGTCTCCAAGAAATATGGGACTATGTGAAAAGACCTAATCTACGTTTGATAGGTGTACCTGAATGTGACGAAGAGAATCAATCCAAGCTGGAAAATACGCTTCAGGATATTATTCAGGAAAACTTTCCCAACCTAGCAAGGCAGGACAATATTCAACTCCAGGAAATACAGGGAACACCACAAAAATATTCCTCAAGAAGACCAACCTCAAGGCACATAATCGCCAGATTCACCAGGGTTGAAATGAAAGAGAAAATACTGAGGGCAGCCAGAGAGAAAGGTCAGGTTACCCATAAAGGGAAGCCCATCAGACTCACAGCAGATCTCTCAGCAGAAACCCTACAAGACAGAAGAGAGTGGGGGCCAATATTCAACATCCTTAAAGAAAAGAACTTTCAACCCAGAATTTTACATCCAGCCAAACTAAATTTCATAAGTGAAGGAAAAATAAAATCTTTTGTGAACAAGCAAGCACTCAGAGATTTCATCACCACCAGGCCTGCTTTACAAGAGCTTCTGAAAGAACCACTACTAATAGAACGGAACAACCAGTATCAGCCTTTCTAAAAAATACCAAAAAATAAAGAACATCAACATAATTAAGAAATTGCATCAACTAATGGGCAAAACAGCCAGCTAACATTAAATGACAGTATCAAACATACATATATTGTTATTAATTCTAAATTTAAATCGACTAAATCCCCCAATCCAAAGACACAGACAGGCAAAAAAAGCCAAGACCCATTGGTATGCTACATCCAGATCCATCTCACATGCAAGGATACACAAAGACTCAAAACAAAGGGATGGAGAAAAATTTACCAACCAAATGGAGAGCAAAAATAAATAAATAGAAAGCAGGAGTTGAAATTTTTGCTGATAAAATAGATTTCAAAGCAACAAAGATCAAAAGAAGCAAAGAAGGATATTACATAAAGATAAAAGGATCAATGTAACAAGAAGAGCTAAAGATCCTAAATATATATGCACCCAATACAGAAATACCCAGATATATAAGACTTACAAAGAGACTTGGACTCCCACACAATAATAGTGGGAGACTTCAACATCAATATTAGACAGATCAATGAGACAGAAAGTTAACATCGATATTCAGGACTTGAACTCAGATTCGGAACAAGTAGACTTAATTAACATTCATAGGACTCTCCACTTTAAATACACAAAATATACACTCTTATCAGTACTACATCACATGTATTTACAGGTTTAAATGAAATATTGGTTGGCTGCTTGTTAATTATTTTCTTCCCTCTTTTTTTTTTTAATGTCTCTATTATTAAACACAATTACAGGCATACCCAGTTTTAGACTGCATTCTAGCCCGGGCAATAAAGCAACACCCCTGTTCTCTCTCCCTCTTCTCTTCCTCTTCCTCTTTCTTCCTTTCCTTCATTCTTTTTCTTTTTTTTTATTCTTTTTCTTTCTTTCTCTCATTCTTCCTCTAAGAAAAAAAAAAGATATTTTAAAAAAAAAGTAAAGAAAATAAGGGAGAAGGTAACACTTCTCAACTTGTTTTGTGAACCCAGCTCAACTCAAATCTCAACAAAGAGCACAATGAAAGCAAATTAGTATATAAGCAAATAAAAGCCAGTAATGCCTGAAACAGAAGCTACCTCATGGCCACGTTAAATTCAGACAATAAATAAAAGACCATTTTAACAATTAAAACTCAATGTAATTCAATTAATTCCAGTTGAAGATCTTTTCTGAATAGGTGCAGAAAAATGTATTTGACATAATTCAAGATCCATTCAAGATACAGACTTTCAAAAAAACAGGAAAAGAGAATTTCCTCAAACTGATCAAGGGCATGGTTATAGAAATGAGTCAAAGACAATCTCTGTGTGTTGGTATCTAGGTTGCTGATTTCTTCTGTATGAGACCTGTTAGCTCAAAGTCTGTCAGCACCAAACATAAATTTTTGCACATCCAATTATTTTTAAAATGCCCAAACAAGCCTATGTACAGCTATTTATGTCCTGTGTGCTTTGCATACCCCATGAAATTTCACCCAGCAGCTGTTATCCATTGTTCAGATAGGGCCTTGATGTTGTAAGGCCTCAAGCCTCTGCTGCCCTTCAGGGGTCTCTAACAGAGACTCCCCACTATGCTGCTGAGCAAAATCACCAAGGCACCTCTTTCTGATCCCCTCTCTCTTGTCCTCCTTCCGTGGGTGGCCCCTTACTACAAGCCTCTGGGAGGTCTCATGCTACAAGGGACCTCACCTCTCATCCAACCCTGTCCAAGTGCCACCCAATAAAGTTTTATATATGTTACTGCCACTCATGGTGATAAGTTTTTTCTTGATCAGTTCACAAATCCTTTGAACCCCCTATAAATATCTACAAAAAAAATCTACAGGTATCATCATACTTAATAGTGAATCAATGAATGCTTTTCTGCTATAATTGGGAACAAGGCAAGGATGCCCACTGTGACTACTTCTATTAAACTGAGCAAGGTCCTGGCTAGTGCAATAAGGCAAGAAAAAGAAAAGGCATAAAGATCAGGAAAAAAGTGAAAATATTTCTATTTGCTGGGCCGTAATCATTTATATAGAAACTCCTAAGGCATATTCACTATTATTAGAATTTAAAATTGACTTCAGCAAAGTCACAGGATATAAAGTCAACATAAAAAACTCAATTTTATTTGTATATACAAGTAGCAAGCCATTGAAAATAAAATCTTAAAATTTTTCATTTAAAATAGGGTCAAAAACCACAAAGTATTTAGGAATAAATTTAGCCAAAGAAGTAACAACCTCTACCTTGAAAACTATAAAACATTTCTCAGAGAAATTGAAGAAGATCAAAATAAGTAGATTAAATCATGTTCACAGATTAGGGGCAAAAGCAACATTATTAAGGTGTCAATTCTCCCCCAAATCTCTATAGATTCAATGATATTCCACACATAGTTCCAGCAGGTTTGTTGACAGAAACTAAGAATCTTATTCTAAAACATACGTAGAAATATAAAGGAACTAAAATTTCCAAAGCATTCTTAATAAAACATCACGAAGCTGGGAGGGTTTAACCTACCTCATCTCAAGGCCTACTTTAAAACTACATTAAACCAGAAGGTGTGGTTTTGGTGAAAGGATGCCATATAGCTCAACTGAATGAAAAATAGTTCAAAAACGGACCCACACATATACGGCCAATTGATTTTCAACAAAATTCCCAAGGATTTTGGTGGTGGAAAGGATGTCTTTTCAACAAATGATGACTAGAAAAACTGGATATTCATATGGGGAAAAAATGACCATAAACAATAAATCACACCATAAATAAAAATTTACTGGAAATAGATTCGATCATAGACATAAATGTAAAAGCTGAAACTACAAAATATCTAAAACTTAAGATGAAATCTTTGTGACCATGGAGGTAGGATAATGTTTCTTTGTCATGTTACAAAAATCACTAAACATAAATGAAAAAATCGATGTCTCCATTAAAGTTCAAAACTTCTACTCAAAAAAAAGACACTAACAAGGAAATAAGCAAACCACAGATGGGGAGAAAATATTTGTAATACATATTATTTGATAAGGGACTGGTTTCTAGGATATAAAATAACTCTTGCAACTTAGTAGTAAAAAAGCAAACAACCAATTTATTTTTTTAATGGGCAAGATTTCAAAAAAGGATCTATGACTGGCCATGACTGGCCATAAGTGCATGAAGAATGACTCTCCATCATTAGTCATCAGGGAAATTAATGGTAGTCATCAGGGAAAACGTTATGTGTCAATTTAGCTAGGCTGCAGCAGTTATTCAAGAAAACACTAATCTAGGTATTGTGAAGATATCTCGTAGATGGGATTGAGGTCCATGGTCAGTTGACTGTAAATAAGGGAAGCTATTCTAGATAATCTTGGTGGGCCTGGCTCAATCAGTTGAAAGGCCTTAAGAACAGAGCTGATGTGTCCCTGATGAAGAAGACATTTTGTCTGTGGGCAGAAGCTCCTGCCCATACCCAGGAGGCTCAGCCTGCCCTTCCTGACTGCCTGCCCTATATATTTCACTCTGGCTGGGCTAGAGAGTATGAAGATGGAGGGTGAGAAGGATGTCAATGAAAACCCTACAAGAGAGTCTTCAGAAAACCCTACAAGAGAGGCTGACTCCAACTGAATGATGCTGTACTATGATCTCTGGACCTATAAGAACTAGGGCAGAAACATCACATACCCTACAACATCTGGGACTGCTGCTCTCACGTGGTCCTCTTGGCACATTAGGGTCACAATCTTCCAAAGGAGAGACTGCATGGGGCTATTCAAGGTGCAGAGGATATTCTAATGCTAGACGGCCAACGTCAGACATTTGCTTACACCCATTGCCAGCCCCCAACCTCCAAAAGGGAGCTCATGTCTAACTAAGGGGCTCTTTTCCCTTATTTTCCCAAGGGTTGGGATTTACTTGGAGGATGGTGGTCCAGAGACTTATAATCCTAGACTGCTCTAGGAAGTGAATTAAATAATTCTCCCTCCTCTCTTTACCTCATCTACTCTCTTTGTTAATATATTTATCCTACACCTCATGCCCATCAGAGAAACACATTTTTTGCTGTTTTGCTGTGACAGAGATCCTGAAAAACACATCAGATTCCACCAACTCTCAATTCCCAAGGTACATCTGGTGCCTTTGCTCCCTGGGCATTTCCATATGGGTTGTCTGTATTCACATTTGTATTGTTCTAGACACACCTCTGGGAATGTTTCTGCTCCTTCCCCAACAAAGCTTGGAAGCCCTGGCAAGGCAGTATTTCATCAGGAATCTGCATTGGCCAAGGCTTCTCTGAACCTTGCAAGAAACGTGTTACTACAAAAGCTTTGCTTTTGATGTAAAGGTTGGGATACCCCTTGCTCCTAGAGATGACCATTTCCACCTTTTTATAATTTAATTAAAAAAATTTTAACTTCTTGCAATTTTTAAGTGTTAATCTATATTGGTAAGTATATTCACATTGTTGTACAATTTCACTTTTTTTGTTTTAAAAGTAACTCTGCAATCATGTGGATTTACACATGGTCTGCTGGGAGATGTCATGAGATTTTAAATTTCTCTCTGGGATGTTTCGAAGGCACAATCTAACAGGCCTATCCACATTATCAAAAGCCTTTGTGTGTTTTTCTCTGCTGTCAGGATATATTTGAATATAAATAATTTATTTTCTGCCCAGAATCCAAAATTATATTCTATACATGTGAGTCTTCCCCGTAGTCCATCCTTACCTGTAGAACCAAAGAGAAACTGTGCAAGGTGACAATTACTCCCCACAGTAGAGGTCTACAACTTTAACTTGCCTACATATGGCCCTGGTGACAATGTAGAATCCATAGTCCCATTCCTAGAGATTTGAATTTAGTGGGTCTGGAGTGCCGTCTATCATTTTGTATTTTTCACACACTCCTAAGCAGGATGGCAGCAAATCATCCTTGCGGAACCAGAACCTAAGCAGGTGATCAGAGAGGAGATGCCTGCCCACTATGCTTCTCCCCTCTCAGTCCTGAGCTGTGAGCATCCTCCAGCTGGGCCCAAGGAGAATTCAAGGACCTCCAAGATCTGGAGCCTGTTTTGCTTCTTCATTTACAGGCTTGTAGTCTGTGCAGAAGATCCTGTAAGCACCTTGGGTGAAGACCATGCCTACCTCATAGGGCTGTCCTGAGGATAAAATAAATAGAACAGGATTTGGCACACAGTGAGAACTCAATGAACGTTAGGTGTTGTTCTACCCATGACCATGGTCATTGCTGGTGCCATCACTAACATTCCTATCAAGAGAAGGCAAGGAGAAAGCTCCTGAATGAGCCCTCCATCCTCTACCATGTGAAAAAGAAGACCCCACTCCAAGCAGGTAAGAACTGTGCAGAACAAATTAAAATCATGAGTCTAGCATGAGCACCACACCCCTTTCACCTCATCTCCCTCACACTGGGAGTCTTTTCCAAGGTTCTTGCCTCTGCAGGAGCAGCCCAGGCATTTCACTCAACAGGAAACCATCCTTAACTGAGGTTAGTGGACCCTTCTCCAAGACTATTTCCTCCCTACATGCCACTGTAATCTCCAAATCCCTTTTCCGTCGTCCCAGACATGTTCAGCTTCCCAATCTGATGCAATCCCCTTCACCAAGTAGAGGCCTTCACCAAGCCCTCTTCTGAAGTCAAAGTGCTATGAACTTTCCCTAGGACATCAATGACTGTGCTGAGCCTTAGCCCCCTTCCCAGTGTTCCCAGCACAGTCCTACAGCAGCAAGTCAACCTGCATTCCAGTGGGAAGTGGCTGTGTCTTGCACAACCTTAAAGCTTCCCTAGAATCTGCACAAACAGTAGTCTTTTTCAGAATGTGATGAAGTGGGCATACTGTACATAAAGCCAAGTGCTTAGTAGGTGCTCAATGGAATGAATGTGTTGTTAAGAACAAATAGTTTCTCTTCAAAGGGTTTCAATTTCTGGTTCTTTGTTCTATTCTAAAAATTAATCTTACCCATTCATCTATCAGCCCTCCCTATCTCTGCTGTGACCAAACACACTCGAGCATTTCCCGTCACCTATGTAACCGTCCTTCCCGTCAAAAGCCCACCCTTGCCTCCTTGATGATGTCAACAATAGCCAACTGGAATTAGCCTAGATTGTGTGATCCGACCCCAGCCCACTGTGGGAGGACACAGGAACAGGGTCTGCATTAGGGGATAAAAACTCCTGCTCTCCTTTGTTCTGTGTGCTCTCTCTTGCCTCTGCCCTGCATTACCTCTATACCTTCTATAGAGGTAAATTGCCTTCCTGAGAAACTTTTGCCTTGTGTTGGTTCCACTTTGAGGCACAGAGCATTTTTATCTCCAAAAATCTGGGGGCTCGTCCGGGATTCCCATTCTCCTCTGGGAAAGGGTCTCTGGTCCCCTCCTGTGAGAAGGCATGCCCCGCTGCCTCATTGTGGCAGCTCAGGGGTAAAGGAGTTGAGACCCACCCAGTGTGACGAATAAACCCAGACTCTCAGCAACATGGGAAAGAAGCTGGACGGCAGCTTGGGGAAAGGGGGCTCACATACCGCAGTGACCAAGTAACTCTGCACAGACCAAGGTGAGAAAAGCCACAGGGGTGGTGAAGTATTGCCTTGGTGGTCGGGATTCTGGAGGTTGAAAGTGTATGAATAGTAACAAGCACTACTGCTGTGCGGAGTGAGTGAGTTCAATCTGTGGTTCCATGTTTACCTCAGACGGCTAATGGTGGCCGTCTTGTAGGGATCCTGACATTGGGGTTTATACAGTCCTGGCAATGGTAAGAAGAACATAATTTCCTGCTGGGGAAGTGGCCAGAGTGGATGAAGCGAAAGAAGGGTGCAAAGAAACTCCAGCAGGTGGGGCCAAAGGATAGGTGAGACATTTCTAATATGAGGAATTGAGCCTAATAGTCCTAGCAAGCCCCTAGAGAAGGATAGGCAAGACATTTCCTACAGGAGAGATTGAGACTAACTAGGACCCAATATGAGAACTACCCCAAGCAAGACAAGTGGAAAGGATAAAATTAGCAACAAAGATATCCCCCCCTCCAGACTCCTAGGTCTCATGTTGAAACATTAGAAAGGTAATGAAAAGACTAGACATAAGAAAAAGCAACAAATGATAAGTTAGTGCTGTTCCATTTGGACTCAAGAACCAATCCTCAATCCCTTAGTTTTCTGGCAAAATTTGGGTCAAATGAGGAATGGATTTGTGACCTTTTAATAGAAAATGTTGCTAGTAGACCTGCCTCCCAAGAGGAAGTAGATTATGCCCTATGTTGGTGGCGGGGACATGTCTTTTACCCTCCAAGTGTTGAAAAGAGCAGTTCAAAAACTAATCTTTGGAGGAGATTTAGTTGTAAGCGTGCCCCATCAAGTTAGAACCATCTTTCTTAAATCAAAAAGGTGATTAATGGACTCAAGAATCTTAAAGGACAAGGCTATTTTGTTAAAAAGAGATAATTTAACACTAACCACCGACTTAACCTAGCAGTTTCTTAACAGGAAGTCTAAACCTAAAAAGAGAATACACATGTTTAGATTTAATTGACTATCACACAAAGCTTAGGCCCAATTCAAGAAAGACCCTCCCTTCGAAACAGGGCGGCACTCATTAATAGATGGTTCCTCCCAAGTGATTGAGAAAAAAAGACACAATGGTATTCAGTAACTAATGGAAAAGCTCTTAAAGAAATAAAGTCAAGAAAATTGTCTAATAATTGGTCTACCCAAACTTGTGAGCTGTTTGCATTGAGTCAAGCCTTAAAATACCTGCAAAAGCAGGAAGGAACCATTTATACTGATTCTAAGTACACCTTTGGGGTGACTCATACATTTAGAAAAATTTTAAACCGAACGAGGTCTTCTTAATAGTAAAGGTCAAAACCTTGTTCACAAAGAGTTAATCACCCGAGTATTAAATAACCATCAGTTGCTATTGTCCATGTCCCTGGACACCAGAAAAACCTGCCTTTTAAGAGTCAGGAAAATAACTTAGCAAATCAGAGACAAGCAAGCTGACATTTCTTCTACTCCTGTTTTCCACTCAACTCCTTATCTCCCTCCTCCTACCATGATCCCATTTTCCTCTTCTACTGAGAAAGAAAAGCTAATCGAAATGGTGCTAAAGAAAACTCAGAAGGAAAACAGATATTTCCAGACCAAAAAGAAACATTGTCCAAACCCCTTTATTAAAGAAATCTTGTCCCATCTGCACCAGAGGACCCATTAGGGACCCCAAGCCATGTGTGACACAGTTTTCAGAGTTTATAAATGTATAAGAATGTATGCCCTGGCCAAACAAGTTACAGATAGTTGCTTACTAATAAAGAAAGTACTAAAGAGATTGCCCCTTAAGGTGAGGAGTCCAGGCTTAGACCATTCCAAAGTCCTCAGATTGATTACACAAAGACACCTCCAATAGGTCTTCTAAAATATTTATTAATGATAGTAGATTACTTCACTAAGTCAAAGCTATTCCCTTTTCAAATGCAATGGCCAATAATATAGTTAAAGCATTAATTAAATATATAGTGCTCAAGTTCAGGCTAATAGAAAGTATTAACTCAGGCAATAGACCTGAGTTAAGCGCATATCCTTAAGAAGCTATCCCAAACCCTGGACATTAAATAAGAACTTAGTTACCAAATGCCTTCCTATTGCCTGTTTAAAAATAGCCTTTCCCTCAGGAATTATATACTTGGTCTCTCCTCTACTTTCCCTTTTCCTAAAACCATAGGTCTCCTCATCAAAAGCTGGAATAAGGAGGAACTTGAGCCAGCCTGGGAAGGACCTTACCTGGTGCTTCGAACCACTGAAACTGTAGTCCTGATGGCAGAAAAAGGATGGACCCATCACACCCGAGTCAAGAAAACACCACCACCTCCGGAGTCACGGCCATTATTCAAGGGGAAAACCTCCTCAAACTAAAGCTGAGAAAAGCTTATCTGTCTTTCATTTATTCTATTGCTCTTTCTTCTTTTCTCATTCTATTGCTGACCACCTTGTTATCAAGTAACCATGTCAGATTCACCCCAAATCATTAGCTTTGATGCTTGCCTTGTTATACCTTGTGAGGAGGATGAACAGTGGCAAAGACAAATCCCTACTTTAGAAAAATACCCCTCCCTACAGAGAAACCACTGACCCCACATCCTGCTCATGGTGAAGGTACCAGGACACCCCAAGTTGGGAAATACGCTCTCAATGGGCAGATATCATCTGGACCGCTAGAGATCTGGGCTGGACACCACAGGGCTGTACTGATCTAAAATCTCACCCCCACCTCACCAAAGGAACCGCACCCTCTAATTGTCAATCTCACCATTGTAACCCAGTAACTATCTCCATTAATACCCCTTCTTCCACCAACCCTACGCCCTC